ACAATTTTTATTCTTAGTATCCATGAAGTTATGCTAATCTAAACAAAGCTCAAAGGATTTAGTGCCAACCTCCTAGAAAGTTCCTCCTAATCATAAAACTGTTCTCTTTGTTTCAGTTTGAGCATTCTATTTTAAGGGTTGTGTCAGTATTTGAAGGACTTGCCAAGTGAGAGACTGGTGCAGAAATGGAGTTCCAAAGAGGAATGAAGCTGTCAGGTAGGGAGCATTTTGTCTGTACCTGAGTGGTCTTGTCCTCCCTTGTATGTGCTGAAAGTTTAAAGCTGAATACATGCAGATCTTTCCCGCAGTTGGCTGTGACCTAAAGCCATAGCCCATGTCACTGAGTTGTAAGCAGGTGACATGTGTTTAAATCTCAGCTCTGCCATTTGTAGCTATGAAGCCTTGGGCAATTCACTATACCTCCAGGTCTCTATCTCCTCCTCCATAAAATGTTAAAATAGTGGAGTAACATAATGACAACATCTCCCATTGCATTCATAATAAGGAAGAGCTTGTTCCCCATGGGTTTAACAAATTAGAACAATTATCCTGGTTTAATTTTAGGGTCTAGGATTCAAGTGATGTTATTGCTAGTGGCCTGTTGCAAATCAAGCTGAACATTCATCAGCAACATTTACAACTAATGAGTCAAAGAACCCTTAAGAGAAATGATTTGAAAAAAGCATAAATGCTGTACTCTTTAGTGAAGAGTGAATCTTGATGATAAAGACAGGTTTTTCATTCACTTATTTAACAAATAGTTTTTGTGTGTGTGTGTGTGTGTGTGTGTGTGTGTGTGTGTGTGTCTTTGGTACCAGGGATTGAACTCGGGACCTTGTGCTTTCGAGGCAGGCGCCAGAACCATTGAGCTAAATCCCCGGCCCACAAATAGTTTTTGAATACCTGTAGTGGGTATGGAAACATAAGGGTGAATAAGATTTGTGAAGTCCCTGCAACATGGAATTTACCAGTCTGAGGTGGAGGTAGCCAATATAAAAGGAAATACAGTAGCAAAAGAATTCCAGCTGGGAAAGGTGCCACCCAGCACATACAGCTAATGTGATAGAATAATAAGATAGGGTGCACGTTAGGCAGGATGGTTAGCAAGATCTCTAGGAGGAGGTGACATGAAATCTGAGATCCAAAGGATGACAGAGAGCCACACATGTGAGCAGACAGGGAAAGAATCAACAGCTATTGAATGCAAGGCCTTGGGGGTGCATATGCCCATTTATGTATCATGAAGTGCTGGACTTCTTTCACACAAACTGGCTAGAGCTCTCCCTTTCTAAATTGTCAACCGTCCTTCTGACTCATCTTGCATGATGGGGAGAGCTCTAGATTGGGGTCCTAGATTGCCCATTGGATCTATCAATTGAAAATACCCTGGGGCAGCCTTCCATCTTTGCACACATCTGCCAAGGGCTGTATCTTGAGCACTGTGACTTAGGCATTCAATCAGCACTGCCCTTGACATTTATCATTGTCATTTCTTTGCCTACGTTTTTGCCTCAGGTCCTAAAAGAGTATCTGCTGACACAAGGTAGATGTTCAACTACTATCTGCTAAATTTTTGAATGAACTTCATGAGAGCATCAGAGAGCAATTTTTAAAAATTTGTTTGTTGTTTGCTTGTTTAAATATATACAGGGAGAGCAAAGTGGATGACATTTGGAGAATGCTACAGCATTCTGTGCTTGGAATTCAGCTCCTGAGGACTACTTTTGGCTCTGCCACTCATTAACAAGGTGACCTTGGATAAGCATCCTATTTGGGCCTTGACATCCTCAAGTACAAATAAAGATTTGGGTTTAAGTGTCCTTCAGTGTCTGTTCTTTGCCATGAATCCACAAGATATCAATATTCACCATTCCTTCCGTACTACTATGAAAGACAAGTTGTTGTCAGGCATTAATTTTATGCAATAATGATGATTCACTTTTCACAGGAATTTGTCATTTCCAAAGCACATTCGTCTTCACTATCTCATATCATTTTAACAATCACATAAGGTTTTTATTTTTATTATTTTTTTCACATAAGGTTTTTAATACAGACATAATTTTAAAAATCTGACAAGACAGGAAACTTATGCGAAGTCACAAAATGATGGAAAAGAGAATGACACTTGTATGTACTGTCCTGACTACAGGTGACATCATGAATTAGAATCTCTATTGTAAGGGAGGGAAACAAACTGTTTACTCCCTAGACAAGTTAATGATGGTTTTGACAACACTGAAATTTAAAGTATTTTAGTTATTGTTGTTAAATTCTTTAGTTGTAAGGACCAGAAAAGTATTTAGCTTACCTCGGTGAATGGAGGGCAACAAGGCAGGAATTAGCTATCATATGGACAGAAAATGCAGTCCTTATGGTAACTGGGAAAATATCCCTAGGGATTTCTTCCTAGGATTTCATTGTTTGTAGGCTTTTTTTCTCAGAACTCTGAAGTCTTTCTCTCTTACCTAAAGAACAGTTTCCCCTGCTTACTCATGCTTCTTGCTTTCCTATAACCATACCTCTCACATGGCTTGATCTCCAGGCACCAGCCCTGGCCAGCCAACCTTTAAGACATGTCCACTCCATCCCTCACCAGAGTACCATCTATTTCTTCCTTTTTTCATTCCTGTGGTCCAGTCGGTTTGGGCTGAGGCGAGAAGGAGTCATGTGGCACCCACAAGTTCTATAATGCTGCCCCCAACCAAATGGCTATGCTGATGCCCTAATCCCCAAAGAGGTGAAGCCTTTGGGAGAAAACTAGGTTTTGAAAAAGCAAAGGAGATGGAGCCCCTATCCTGGGATTAGTATTTTTATTTTTATAAGAGGAAGAGAGACCAATGTTCTCTTTCTGTCAATCATATGAAAATACTGAGAAAGGGTAGCCATCTGCAAGCCAAAAAGATAGCCCTAACAAGAACCCGACTGTGCCAGTACCCTGATACTGGACTTTGCAGATTCCAGAACTGTGAGAAATGAGTGACTGTTGTTTAAGTCACTTAGTATATGATATTTTGTTATGGCACTCCACACAAAGACACACTTCTGTGTCAGGATTTATAGACAAGTTCTTAGGAATGGGGGTATGTAGTTAGAGCAAACACTCCCAAACATATCTATTTAACACTTTTTGAAAAATTTCTATGTTTTACAGAATTCTGTTGACTCTCCCTTCCTAAGGTACCTCTAATCTTTACAAGTATAATAAAAAAGTATCTATCATTTGACAGTTCTGGAAAAAAACAAAGAACAAAACATCCATTTTTGTCCCTTAATTTAACAGGTAGGGGAGTTTCTGATTGTAAGGTTCTGATTGTAGGGTTTAAAAAAAATACATGGCTACTAGAAGAATCATAAAAACCTAAAGGCTAAAAGAAATTTTTATCAGATTATTTAATCTCACTCTGTATTTTAGAGGAAAAATCATTGACATTGAGCCTTAGGTCACAAAGCTGATTACAGGTAGAGTCAGTGGAGTTATTTCTCCAAAGTCAAAGTTTGTGATGTTTTTATTACAACATTTTAGGAGAGTCTGTAGAAAGACTTAATTTTACAACAAGAGAAGGTGCTTGGGAAATGCAGCATCAAGTAGAGTCTAAATGTAAAATAAGAACATGGAATGGGGGTAGATGACAAGAATCTTCACAATGTGTGAATGGACAAGGAAACAACCCTCAAATGCCCTAATTCTTGTTCCTGAAAAACTTACATATAAACAAGCATCTTAAAAATTGATCCGAACTCTTAACTGACACAAATTCGAGTCAGGAAATAGAGATTAGGATGTTCCACTGACAGATGGCACAGGAACATGGTTGGATTGAAGTTTGATCACGGATTGCCTTTCAAAGGGGGCCTCTATCACTTAAAGTAGTAGTTGTGTGATTTAGGCAAGTTTGTATTACTTAATAAACCTCTGTACTGGATTAAGTTATGTGTCTTTACGGGCTTCTGTTTCCCTCTCTCTAAAATAAGTTAGTAACAAGTACTACATAGGATTGAAACGGTCATAGTGAAATTCTTAGAACATCATGCGTGGCACACAGAAATTACTGTATGTGCTATCTATCATCATTATTAATGGCTTTTCTCGTTTGAGAGCACTAATAGCTATTCTTTCGATAGAGAAATCTCCACTTTCAATCCCGCTGGCTAGATTAGAGGTATCAGCGTTCAGGTGAGGAATTAAGGATGGAAAGGAAATATTTCTTTAGTGATGGCTCCTCCTTTATTTGTATCTGCTATAAATTTGTGAAAGTGTGCATTGCTATTTGCACTTCACAGACCAGAAAAGAGTCTGAAGATGATAACTGTTTGTCCAGAAGTGGAAGTTGAATCAGTCACGGCTTATGGTACAAACTTCATTTGACTCTATATCGCAGTAAATGAAGTTCTTCAAACGAAGACCTCCTGGACTAATAAAGTTCCCACTTCAGGACCTATGAAAAGACGAGTAGGAGTGGTGGAAAAAGGTGCGAGGACCCACAACCCTCTTCCATCCCAGGAACAACAACTAGGCAGATTGGCCTTTTCTATGGTAGTCCACGCTTCGCCAAGAAAATCGGACCCACATTGTGGGATAACCCGGCTCAGGCTTGCTTCTGGCCTCTTCCGAACCTCCGTGCGGGTGACTTGGGGCTGGGGGTGGGGGTGGGAGCTGACTCCCCCGCGGAAGTCTGTAGAGTTTAATTAGTGAATTTATTCAAGAAACTATATTTTCGCGCCAAAGATCAGGGCCAGCCACGGAACGCGAACAAGTGGAAGCCCGCAGGAAGACTCGGCCTGAGGTCAAGCCTAGCCTCAGGTCCCCCTTCTGGGCTGCTCAACACGCGACGCCAGCCCCAGCCCCGGCACCCGCCTCCGTTCCCGGAGGAGGCGTGACAGACGCGCGCCGCCATCTTGTTGGTCTCTCTAGGCGCTCTGTTTACTACTCTATGGTCGCCCGCTCCTGCCCCGCCCCTCCCCAGTCATTGTCTGGAGGAGCAGCCGCGGCCGCAGCGCCTTCTCTTTATAAACCCGCAGTCCCCGGATGTGAATGGATTACAATGTATCTTTCAGGGAAACCTATTATTATCAATGTGACTCCACGGGGGAGTCAATGGTGATGATGATGAGGAGGAGGATGATGATGAGACACCTCTAAACTTGGAACAAGTTTAAGACTTTATAAGAGGAGAAGAAAAAAAACCCAACCAACAAGATTTGTTTGAGGAACAATTATAACTATCCTGTGTCGATATTTTTTTATAAACAATAAGAAAAAGTTGTTGGATTTTTTTAATGCTTTCTTTTTGGGGGGAGGGAATTTTGTTGCAGTTTTATGGTGGAAAATGCAAAAACCAGACCCAGGTGCATAATCTTGTAATCTGTGGATATCCCTGGAGCAGGACTGAGTACCACTTTAAATACTTTTTTGGGGGATACACATGTGAGATACTAAGTACTTGCAGAAGATTTTTGTCTCTTTTTAAAGTCTCTTTCCTTGGAATATTGTGAGAATATTTGTGGCCATTTAAGGTAACGTTATAATTTGCTGTAAGAGTAAACTGTTTGTAATTGAATTTAATTTTTAAAAAAATGTCGATCCCGATGTTTTATTAAAACAAAAGGAACAGCCTATTAAATAATTGCCACTGGGAAAAAGTGTGTGCATGCATTTTGTGCATGTACTCGCACATCTAGCAATATCAGGGGTTGCAGAATGTGTTTAACACACGTTGAAATAGCGTATGTTGCATATATTGGATAAAGCACGCTTGCTATTACGAAAAGATAGAATTACGAACCTTAGTTTTTATCCTAAAAAGTGATTTGGAAAAGTATGCTTTAAGAACATGCAGGGCCTATAATAGTAAATGTTGAATTAAAAACTTAAGAGTACTGGCGAACGCGCACTTAGTGTGCCTGGGAGCTCAAGTGTAAAAACAAAACAACATCCACCCTCCCAAATTGCCTTTTTTTAAAAAACGAAGTTTGCAGCAATACTCTTCTTTGACTTAATAGGGCGGGGGAAGAAAGTATGCAATTCGGATTTCGCTCTCCACGCAAAACTACCCTAAACGAAAATTTCCCCAGCAAAATGTGGCTTAGTTTATGCATGGAAAAGAAAAACATTATTCCTCTTGGCAAAGTCTTTTTGCATCACGTGTATTTGCAGCCTAGTATAAACTTGCTTTGCCGTGTGGATGTGTGAGAGGGAACGCGAGTAAGAAAGAAAGAAGTGAGAGGGGTTGTAAAGTCGAATCAATTTCAAAGTGCTTCCGATGGATGAAACGGGCAAAAAACTGAACTGTTCAGGCTTCAGATTGTAACTGACGATCTGAGGGAAAAAATGAGGTGCTCGATGAATTTTCGTTTGTATTATATTATTATTATTTTTGCGAGGCGGGGGAGGCGTTGCGATTTTTCTGTTTCTGGGGGGCGGTGGGGGAGGACGCGTCCCAGGGCCCCGACCCGGAGCAAGCCGAGTCCGCCCGCCGGAGCCCCCCCACCCATTTCTTTGCTGAACTTGCAATTCCTTGCGCCTCGGCGTGTTCCCCCTCCCCCCTCCCTCGTCCCCTCCCCTCCCCAGAGAAGAGAGTTGGTGTTAAGAGTCAGGGATCTTGGCTGTGTGTCTGCGGAGCTGGAGTGACGGCGGCGGCGGCCGGGAAGCAGCGGGCGCGGGCGTCGGAGGAGGAGGAGGAGG